AACCTCGTCGGTTCGCCAAACCTCGTCGGTTCGCCAAACCTCTTCGATTTTACAAACTTTGATCTCTTGAAAAAACCTTCCAAAACTGAGACAAATCGGAATTTTAAACTGTGTTAGGTTACTAGCAACTCCTGGTAGTGTTCTAGTTTTATACCTAAAATTTGGAAGACAGGGGAACCTGAGATATAGACGAAAAAGAGACGAGGACAAGAATGAAGGTGTGTGAGAGAGGGAAGTGAATGTTTCGGCGGCCGAGAAGACGGCTTGAGAAGAGTTCAGGCATTCCCAACTAAAATTATCGTTCGGGAAGTTCAGACTAGTTTTTACGGATGTCGGCTGCGTGAGATAATTTTGCCTCAACTCAGATGTAAAGGTATTTGTGTCTATAAGAAGTTAATATGTCTTTAAAAAGATAATAAAACATGGATATTCGTTGAACTATTTTAAAACAATTTTTATTAGTTGATTCTATATTACGTGATTGTAAGTTCAGCTCATAGTAAAACTTTTCTTATGCGGTCACTAATGGATCAGAAAGATAATGTCTGTTAATGTAAGTAACCACATAATGAAGTTCGTGAGAATATGGGAAGCGGACATATTTTTTCTATTTGTAATTAATTTGAGTATACTTCCCTTAGCTTGTCTTTGTTTACAATTGAACTACAAAATACCGGAAACTTTTTGTTCGCAAGCGCTTAACCAACCCATACCAAATCATTCAATTCCCCATATTGTCAAACTTCCCTGTTTTTACATCACCGTTTGATTCTTTCGATGCGAAGAATGTATTCCCAACATCATTTCATATTGCAATTGACAAATTGAAAGAACTTTAGAGTATTTATGAAACATCTGATACGAACAGTACAGGACAGCAGTCCATGGGACGAGATGACATCTTCTACAGGAAATATTTACACATATCTTATTAAAAAATCAATCCGTTCATTAAAAAATATCATTATGCAGGTGACAGCTTAATCGAAGGGCCGTGTTAGTAAGTTTCACTGTATGTTTATTCGTTTTCTATGATAAGATAATTGCTTTTATAATAAAATATTTACAAAAATTATCATTAGTCTTGGACGAACAGAGGTGTCACTATAAAAGCAAAAACATAAAAAGATTAAGATTAATACATATAATTACAATATGTTAGTCTCTATCGTAATAGGCTTGCAAGAATACAATTACATTGAACATTCAGTCGTCCTGTATCAGCCTCTTCGTCAGTTCCATACAACCTCTTTTCTTTCTTATCTTTTGATCTCGTTTCATCGTCTCAAGTGACATGAATGAATGACGACTTGTGAAGAATGTTGGAGCGTATCCTTCTCCTGCCTCAGCCCTCATGCTTTTGTGGTGTTAGGACTACTTTAGTTGACAGCTTGATACGGCGTTTTGATGTGGAAATTTATAGATGATGGTTCGTTTTATTTTTTACTTCTTTTGAGTGTGAGCTTTGAAAGCTCGCACTCGTAGAGAAAAGATCTCCACAACAAACACAAATCCGAGCAATGCTCTTTGATCAAAACAGTGGCCAGATAGAATTCCCCTCTGTGTGAAATACACTTCATTTATATGATCAGGAAATATCGAATTACCTTTGATATGAAATACTTATTTACTTTTGTAATACAAGTCCCCTTTGACTATCTCAAATTTTGGATTCTCTGATGACTGCTGGCACTGGGTTTACATTACAAAAAGGTTTTGTGAATCCACCAGGAAACTATATTTTTAGTATCATATGCTTCAGTGTAATGATTTCATGAACTTCACTCAGGAACGAAAATTCCTGCTTCATATTTATAAGAACAGTATTATACTTAAACAACTAGATCAATATTAAATGTTATATCCGATATTGCAGAAAGCCACGACGATGGTTGATTACATTTCATTGCAATTAAGCGAGTTATTTCTGAAACGATTCTTCAAGCTTCAATAGATCAATTCGATTCATAACGCTAAAATTATGTTTTATATTTTAGTTTACTAAGCTTTTAGTCTTCAACTCCATTGACTTCTACTAACAAGCAATATGATTGGGACTATCCATAACTTCGTAGTAAAAACCACGATACTTGTATTTTATTCCACAAATTTCTCATATTCCACACCAAGACATTCGCGAAAAGTACAAAAATATCATTCATAACATGAATTAATTGTTCCTCCATTTTCAGTCATCTTCATGATGGTCAAAACAGATCTAACAATCCCAAACCAAAAAGTTAATTTTATTCCAGGGTAATTGTCTATTAGAACCTGAAATCATGTAGATGGCAAAAAATTAATTTTCCAATTGAGATAGAAGCAACCTGTGTGATCAAAACGGAAAGGTTTGTCAGTTAGGTGCAATTATTAATTAATGTTGTTTCCTTGACCTCCGTGCTCAAGCTGTAGTTTCAGAAAAATAGACGGTAACCTCCCTTTTAACGATTTATTATTGGAAAGCGAACCCTCCATTTCGCCTTTCCTCCGTTCGTAGTCCATTTCCGAGGGAAGTGAAGTGGAGCCGTTCGCCATCCATCAAGCAGATCTCCTGGCGGCGGCTGGCGGAAGCTGGGGGCCCAGCGATTGGGCCCGATTCCTCGCTTTCTCCTCCCGATCCGCACTGGGGGGATTTGTGACTCTGGCCGAACAAAAATTACATTTTCCCCCCTTCACATCAAACGTTCGCATTCGGTTGAAGATGTTGTGCAGATGTAATTATTTGTAGTGAAAAATTTCTGAAACGAACTAGTGACTGTGGAAATACGAATGGAAGGAAACCTTAGTCCTCTGATTACATAAAATACAGTTTTAAGTTCACTGTTGGTATTATTTTGTCTCGCTTGCTCGTTAATAGAAATGAATAATTTATGGTTACAAACTTACACATTACTGACAAAAATTAAGATAGGATTTCACTCAATTTAGGTGAATTATCTTTACATAGGAGTGAATCCCAAAAGTAATAAGGGATGCGACAATTTCAGTTCAGACCTGTTCACTCAATGATTAAGTGAAATTCTAAAAAAAATAAAAATAAAAACAATGTACGGTCATAACTGTTTCATGAATTGCTTCACTCCTATGCGGTCAGTATATAACCAGTATTCCTTTTTTTGTATTATACGAGTATTATAATAACCACTTATAGTTGTGTATTATATAGGATTTTTCTCAATGTTAAAACTTTTCGGACATGTAGAGGGGTTCAAGACGATCATTGGTTTGCATGAACATTTGGTGGGAATTTTCGTTACAATTATGAAATTTGCCCCTAATTGATAGGCAACACATCATGCATCGGTGTACAGGGTTTTGGGTGGATGGTATACATAGTACAAAACATTAATCTTTTCTAAGCGTTTTATAAATAGATGGGATGGAATTATGGTCAGATGACACAAAGCTGGAAAAAGCCATTTTTGACCGTCTAGAATCGCAATTACGCCCAGGGCGAGGCTCTTTCGGGAGCTGGAGAGCATCCGATCGCGACGACTGCGGCAGTGAAGCTGGTGCCTGCGACTGCTTTGCATGGAAACGGCGAGGGCGAGGGCGTGCGTTAGTGGGCGTGTCTGTTCACCTGCGAAGCCGCCTGCCAGTCCGATTCGTGGAAATCATGAAGGCGGTGTTACTGGAGGGCTTGATTCGCGGCCCAACCATTAGGCGATTCTCTGAATCCTTCGGCCACTGGCTGTAACGTACGTAGAATGGCGTAAGCAGACGGAGAATGTCCTCGAAACTTGCATATGAAGGTGAAATGAAATGATATGAAGAAAATTGTGGTTTTGATACATCTAATCGTAAGAAATTCTAAATCGGCAGAAATGAGGAAAATTCATTTTACCAAGTGAAAAATTTGTTATCATAGATTATGTCGAAATTTTAATTTTCTGGTGACAGAATGAACTGTTAATATTTTGATGTAAAATGGCATAGTTCCTTGAAGATTGCATCAAATTCATTCATGCATATTGTAAATAGAATGTTAAAAGGCGGCAGTTTTCTTCCTTATGACATGCAATTGGCGAGAAATAGAGAACCCACAATCTGTTTGTTACAGAAAAACGTAACCAACAAATTGTGGGGTCGAAAGGAGATGATGTTTCTTATGAATGTGCGTTTATCGCCGCAATGAAGTATCAACATCAACTTGTCTTTTTCTGATTTTTACTTCCTCGTCTACAGCTTAAGCAGGCGAGGGGCCATCTCATCATTTGCTCAATGGATCAGGGAAACTGGACAAAAACCTGATCGAGTTTGGTTCTTTTTTATTTTTAATGGTTTGGTTTCATCCGTCCGACGACGGCCGATCAAAATTTCGGCTGAAATCAAATTCTCTGTGACTGCCTCATACATTCCGGGCTCTATTGGCGAAAAAGTCGCTAAATCGTGTTTCAGTATGTAACAAATTACTTGACTACCTGTTATGTAGTCAGAAACAACGTTTGGTGGGTCCCTTTTAATTTGTTTGGAATTTTTCAAGTGATGGCTTAAGCTGGGGCAGAAAATTCAACGTTATAATATTACGTAACTTTTGCTAATAATGTGAGAGAGTATGGGTTGTTGCAGCTCCTCTCGTTTAACTCTGCAACACGCTAAAAGCACATTTATCACCAAAATGACTGGTATTTTGCCTCACGTCTCACATACTCAGGGAAATAACGAGAGCGGTGTTATCTGCCATTTGTCTCTAAATTCCTCGAACAGGGCTCTTCGAATTTCCTTTCATTGTTTCCCCGACCTGAAACCGCGCGTTACGTGCCAAGCGAAAAGTCCGCCCGTCGTGAAATGAGATTCCCGCGCGGTTCGATGGTCGCATTTTCTGATTTCCCGCTGCCGTCGCCGCCGCCGCGAGGAAACCTCTCCGGTGCAATCCTCCTGTTCTGCCGCAGCCCGCACGCGAGGGCGAGTGCCGCCAGCCGACATTTGCATTCTGGGGAGCGGCGCGCGGGGGTGGGGTGGGGGTGGAGTATTTGACGTTACAGAATTAGATCCCGAGCATGGCGACGGCTTCTCGTAATCCGAGAGTGGCAGCCATTGTTGCTGGGCTGCGTCAAATCTCGCGTTTCACTCCGCTATCGCGCTCGTGCGCAGCAGCGCTTTGCGGGGGCGGAGACCGCCCTGCTGCTGACGCTCTCGGCCGCCCGCGCCTCGCGCTCGCCCACGGCGATCGTGGCGCTGAACGGCGTGGCGTCGGGTTTTGAAAGCTCGCTCGACACTCGACGCACGCCGTCAAAGATCTTTTTTTAATCTTTTTTTTTTTTTTCGCTTGCGTCTGACTGTCAGGTGTGCTTGAACGCACATGGCAACAAAAAAAAATTATTTTACAAACGAAATTTGTTTCCGTTGCATTTGTTCCATATATACGTATTCACAGAAACGATAGATTCTACGTCCGTTTACCACATGGTTTGTGAAGATCCTTCACGCGAGAATGATTTTCGGAAATTCTGATAGCGAGAAGGCGTTTTAGTATTCTGACCATCATTTTATACGTGTGTGAGTGAGTGAGTGAGTGAGTGTGAGACAGGGAGTTTTCTACCACGTTGTGTTATACAAATATTATTTTTATCAGTTGCTTTTCTAACGCATCATTTCCGTGTACTCGAAAATATCTTCGATCAATATGAAATGCCTTCAAGGAATTTAGCCGAAGATAAATATTAAATGTGAAATAGTTGAACCTAAGAATCAGTGCATTATTTGTGGTTAGAGCAACTCTGAATTACATATAAAATGTCATTCAAAGGATGTGATCAAATGTGCCGTCGTTCACGTTTATATTTAAATTATTGCCTTTGGCACCTTTTCTTCCTAAAAACGTTCACTTAGTTCTCTACATTGGCAAGTGTATAAACATTATTTGTATCACTCTCTTAAAATTGGTCTTCCGTATCACCATGATGTAGCCAATTTTATTCCGTTATTTAACGTGATCATAATTTGTTATTACTCATGAACATCACTTACATCGTCGTCGTCGACACGAAATTTTTATAGTATTAACAAAAATACCTGATTGTTAGAACGATTTTATGTAATACTACAATACGTAATCTATATACATAATGGGATGTTGGTCAGTTCTATGTAGAAAATGAAATGGTGGTCAGTTCTATGCAATGGGTTGTTGGCCTGTACCACGCAAATCATGGGTTGTTGGTCATATCTATGTAGATAATGGGCTGTTGGTCATATCTATGTAGATAATGGGCTGTTGGTAATATCTACGTAGATTATGAGATGTTGGTCATATCTATGTAGATAATGGGATGTTGATCAGTTCTCTGTAATTGGTGGTTGGCATGTTTGTGACTGACCCCTATGTACACGAAACCCAATCTTGGTTATAATTCCAACATCACCGCCTTCTGTTGCAGACGAGCCCTTCACCATCTTCACGCCGCGCAACTCCAACGCGACGGCGGCGGAGCTGGAGGCGCTGCTGCGCCACCCGCCGCAGGCTGAAAGCGCGTGCGCCGACCAACGTCGTGCTGGGTCCTTAAAGCTCACAACCTCGACGTCAGTCCGACTCAGCCTTCACCACGCTCGGCGGACGCACCGTGCGCGCCCGCAGACACAACGGTACGCCCAGGCGCGCACTTACGCCCAATCAGCGTGCGCGCGACCACTGCGCCCGCCCGCCCGCCCGCCCCGCCCGCCCGCCCGCCCGCCGCCCGCCCGCCCGCCGCCCGCCCGCCCGCCCGCCCCGCCCGCCCGCCCCCCGCCGCCCGCCGCGCCCGCCCGCCCGCCGCCCGCCCGCCCGCTCGCCCCCCGCCTGCTCGCCCCGCCCGCCGCGCCGCCCGCCCGCCCGCCCGCCCGCCCGCCCGCCCGCCCGCCGTCACCGCCCGCCCGCCCGCCGTCACCGCCCGCCCGCCGTCACCGCCGCCCGCCGCCCAGCTCGCCTCTTAAAAATGCAGCCTTTGTTATTTTTTTAGTTCAAAAAATAATTTTCATTAAAATTTTAATGTAAATTAAATTGAAAGTATATAAATAGAATTAATATAATATATCATATCACATCATATATAATATAATTAATTTAATTTAATTTAATTTTGATATTCTGCACACTTTTGGGTGCAGTCTTTGTTATTATAGTAGTATCTTAGTTGTTAAAAATAATTCGTTTTTATAATTATTCATGGTACTCTCTCTCCTTAATTTAATTTGGGCACTTATTTCTGAAACCATTTAGACTCACATATTTATGAATTGTTTCATTCCAGAGCATAATATCTATTTTTTATGTCACGCCGGTATTCCCTCGAGGCGTGGAATGGAACTCGCCCGCCTCTCCGACTGCCGTCGTTCCGCACCCTCCCCCCCAACACACACACCACACTCCCCCACCCGTCTTGAATAACGGTTAGCGTTTCTCCGGGGTGTAGACTCAGTAGATTTTTTATGTGCCTCCTAGAATTACTCATTTCATTTTCATATTCATTTGGACCCTTTTTTCGGTAAACAGTTACACTTGTATACGCATTTGCTTATAAAAACATGTATTTATGATTTTTTTTAATTCATTCAATGAATATAACACCTATTATTTTATGTCATGTCGCGTCGAACCCACGCGCCCGGCTCTCGTCCTTCCAAATTTTATCTCTATTATGATCCTCATTTTAGTTTTTCTCCCGGGTGTTTAATTAGCAGAGTTCGTGTATGCCCTCCAGAATTACTACGAAATTTTATTTCAATATTCAACTGGAGACTCCTTTTTCTGGGTGGAATTACTCGCGAATGTAGGCATTATTTGATTCAATGAGCTCCAGAACACACTCGGGGCGTCGAAAGGAGACCGCACGTCTTTCCGGTTTCTCTTCCTTCCGGTTTGCGACAATGTTCCGGTTCTAATGTGCATTCTCAGGATTACTAATTTTATTTTCGCAGTCGTATAGTTACATTTCATTTGGAGATTCCTCTTCCTGAATTAATTTTGACTCGCGAATTTTCTAATGTATTGTTTGATTTAATGACTATATATTATTTGATTTTGCACCCTGATACCCTCTAACTTTACTCGCCCTTTTTTCCGACTTCGCTTTTTTTCCGGTTACTGTCGAAGTTTGCTTGAAATAAGAAACCTCGGTTTAGATTTTCCCTTCGATGTCAATTGGTTTCTTCGTGTTTTCGGGCGTGTCAACTGCTAAGGTTAGTAGTCCCGTTAGTGTAGTGTGTGTTTTTCCTCGTGCGGTGGCGGTGATCTTTCCTCACTGGATTGTGAGATTCAGCGCACACCTACACGTCGGCTAGTGGGGTTTTCCCCACCCAGGTATCTCCCACCAGAGGGGCACCGCTCCAACCGGCACAAGCTCTAAGCTCCCGACCCGTCTCTCGGCACGTGTGTTAGTGTAGAGCATGTAGTAAGTGTGTGTGTGTGTGTGTGTGTGTGTGTGTATGTAAGGAACGAGGATAGGACAAGGCAGGAGAATGAAAGATCGCGCGTGGTCCGTGGCCCATTTTATCAAGGTGTTGCTCTGGCATTCGCCTGGTACTGATCGGAGATACCACGGAAAACTACCGTTCAGTACAGCCAGACCCCCCCCCCACACACACACACACACACACAAGTTTCGGATTAATTGAGTTCATGAGTGCCGTACCACAATTTCTCAGATTTTTTGTTTTCATATTCATCAACTTTCATCTGAAGATTTCTTTATATGAATTAATTTAGACTCGCGAATTGGTATATTATTTAATTAAATTAATATTTGACCTGTTTGTCACATACTCATTATAATTAAATGTTTGACACATTTGACTTCTATTATTTGTTTTCTCGCTGAGGAACTTGCAGTGCGTCAAACAGTGAGCACCCATGTTTCCGGCTTTCCTTCCTTCCATTTCCGCCCAAAGTTTCGTTTCTAATACGAAATGTCAGTTTAGATTTCCTCTCGGGGGTCAGATTATTCGAGTTTGTAATACGCTTTCCTGAATTACTCAGACTTTTTTGTTCTATACTGATTTAATTGGATTAGTTAGGTTTATTTCTCTGAATGGATTCGGGATCACGAATTTACGTAGCCTGTTATTCTATTCAATGAATTGTTTGATTTCGGACCGGGGATTACATGCGGGGCTTCGAACCTAGGACGCCCGCATTGCCGGCTTTCCTTCCGGTTCCTCTCGAAATTCATTTTCTCCTTTTCAGATTTTCCGTTTGGACTTACTTTTAGAGGTTGAATTAGTCGAGTTCGTTTCCCGAATTCCTTTTTTTTTCATTTATATTTCTCTGCAGTGCCAGTGCTCTTTGGAAATCACAATTCTCTTGAGTCTGATCGTCTGCGACAGATCAACGGCAATACCATAGTCTCTACATCTTCAACCGGGAGATTCTCAGGTTCGAGGTCCGGCGGAGGCAGACTTTCAGTAGCTAGGTCTAATTCAGTCACTGTTCCAATGGAAGGGGCTGCAGTGGCAACTCTGATTCCACAATTAAATTGTACAAAAGTGAACATGAACTTGGGCGACCCGAAACTGATATAACTGCAAGCGTCTCTTTATCCTAGGGTTCGTGCCCCGACGATAGCAGGATTTTCGACATTGCTAGATAGCTAGGTCGAATTCAGCTGCTGCCCGGAGGTGAATTCTGTATGTGACCGGCTCTGATCGATAGCTTCCCATGGTTTCTCCAATCAACATCAGGCTAATGCCGGAGCAATACCCTCAAAACGGGTCACATACTTGACACGAACTTTCCTTCCCCAACACTGTGTGTACCCTCATCTACCCTTACACGGTGCACTGCACCGACGGAACTAATGATCTCACTAGCTGACGTGCTCGAAATCACTAACAAACTTGAAAAAAGTGATTTAAAAGTTTGTCTAGTTCTTACTAGGGATTCGAAATCGATTCCGACGTTTTCAAAACATCGATGTTTCTACAAAAATATCGATATATTGATGCCGATGTCTATTGAGCAACAATGTTTTGTGCTCAAGGTTCTTATGTTTTCAGTGTTTCATTCGTGGATGAAAAAATCCCGTAATCACAATTTTGTAAAAGTTAAAATAATAAATAATAACTAATAGTACCACTGTATGTTTGAACCAAACGAATGTGGTTTGGACTACCCACATCGATCATACTACTATCCCTGACCTGATATGATCCTCATGCCCTGTTATTTCGTTTTTCTCTCCTCTTTCGCACATGGAGAGGCATTTTTAAGTTAAATTTTAATTATAAATAAATATGCACGATGTCTGTCAAATCAAATTTTGTTGCAAACTAATTTAATGTTAGTTTACTAATCCAACTTTAAAAAACGTTGGTTTTTGGTCGATGTATTGTCGTCAATGTCACATCACTAACTCTTACGCATGTCTTCGTTGCAGGCACGCTGTTCGCCAACGAGGCTCGCGTGCTGCAGACGCGGGTGGAGGTGCCGAACGGGGTGCTTGTCGTCCTGGACGGCTACCTGTTTCCCGAGGACCTGCGCGAGTCCAGCGCCCCCGCCCCCGCCTCCGCGGCTCCCGGCGCCGCCGACGCCGCCCCCGACGCCGCCCCCAGCGACACCGCCGCCGCCATCGCCACCACCGCCGCGCCGCAGGCCCTCGTCAAGATCAACAAGCCCAGCTCGGCGGGTCACGACAACTCCACCTTCCTGGAGAACGTCAACGAGATCCTGTCCTTCCTGAAGAGCGGCGTGCGCGTCTTCAGGGACTTCCTGTCGCGATCCAACGTGTCGCATCTGCTGCAGAACGGTGCGTTGACAGTTATTTACGACGAGACGTGGTATTACCCGCGCACGTTTTCTTGAGCCCTCATTTGCGAGAGGAGTCGGAGGTTGATTATTTCGACGAGAGGTCTCTAATTCATAATCTATAGCTTGTTTTTTCAATGCAAAAGAATATCTACACTTGGATTTCTTTTAGAGGTGCTCTTGAAGTAAATAAGCTGTTCTTTCATCCAATCAGAGATGGAATGCCACCATAGTGACGCCACGGTCACTGCTGTGACCTGTAAGCTCCCGATTGGATGGCACCGTAACAGCTGGTTTACGTCCAGTGCTACTCTAAATAAATCGAAGTATATTAGGCGGAATCAAACATTTCTCTTTATCATATTTTTCAACATGTTCGTTGCTCTCACATATTCATAATTCAACTAATGTTAGTAAAGGAGTGGTGTAGATATTCCAGGGCTCAAGAAAATGTGTGATATTTCAATAAGAGACTGGAGAACGAACGAGCCTGTTAGGTCGAGTTTAATAACCAATCGTGTAGTATTTGTTACAGTTACATGATGTTACAACTTTTTATATACTGTTTTAAAATTACAATGAATTATAATTTTCGATTAAATTTAACTATTCTTCCTGCGAAACCTGACGCAGAGTTGTTGATACTCCTTAATGGGAGACCGTGGAATACTACTAAAATTACTTGCATTACGAAATTAATCATTGCTGTTAGTGCCACAGATAATTATATTCTTAACACTTGTATCTCAATAACTCACATTACCACGCCCATCGCTGCTTCTTGAAGTTTGGCTTTAGGCAATGAAAGTGGATAAATGCAATATAATTACGAAATTAAAAAATCATAAACAAATATAATAGAACCTCGTTATTTTGAATCTGAAAGAGCAAAGAAAAATGTAGATACTGAAGTTAAAAAAATATGTCGATGAAAAAACATCTTGTTTGAATAGGTAGGATGCATATCCGTTTTTGAGAAAATTTAGAAAATGTCAGGGGGGCATCATCGCGGGGCTTCTTCTTTCAGCGTCCCCCCAAATTTTAAAGCAACGTTCTTAAAATCTCGGCGCTTCGAATGGAGATAGATCGACCGGTGAATATCCCTTTTGGAAAAATCCCACTTATGGTTTAGGCGTTAGGGTTGTTCACATACATACAGACAGGGACGGACGGACGGACGTTTTGAAATTAACCATTATTTCGGAACCAAGGGACCAAAACATGTATTTCCGTTGAAATCTCGAAATCAATTTTCCACAGTATTACATAACTTCCCTATACTACGTTCCTCCGTATAATAAGTATGTATACGGGAAAGTAAAAAGTATGTCTTGGTGATAGACGTTCGTTAAATTTCAAAATATTGTATTAGGAGTTCGTAGTACACACTTTCTGCGAATTCATTTAATTTAAATTTATAGAAGAATAAGAAAATACACATAGTTAATTTAAGAGTTAAGCTGATCTCAGTGGTAATTGATACACAATAATTGCATTATATTTTCCTCTTAAATTCCATTTCTTTGCTTTTTTCACCATTATCTTTAAATTAGTATGTAGTATGAGTAATTTACATCATTACAGCTACATGATTGTAAGATTGAAAGTGAGTATCTGAAAAAAGTCTAATATGTAATATTTCAAATTCCAGGCGAAGAATATACTGTTCTGGTACCCACTGATCATGCTTTTCAGAGATGGCATCCCATTGATTGGGGTTTTTATCCCTTCTCAGTGCCAGAATTCACAGAGATGATAATGACAAATCACTTTATTCATGGGAACCTGAAGCAAGAGAACATCAGAGATGGTCAAAAAGCACTGACTGTGGGTGGAAAGGAAATTACCTTTTCTCGCAAACGTAAGTTATTAATTAGCTAATAATTGGAGAACCCAACAACGCATATTCATCATCATCATTAGCTGGTATAAAATTAAAAATGTTTAATTGACAAAGAATCCAGAATTCATTATTTTGCAAATAATTTTTTCCTACAATGCTGGTTAATTAAGAAATAACTGAATATCTATGTCAGTTGAGACTTATTGATAAATGAATAACTGACCTAAAATAAAAATCATACATTCAAATATTGTCTTTTATTTAAAACAATACAAACGAATAATAAATTTGGACCAGATATTTTTCCTCCTATCGTTAAAAAATTGTGTCATTAACTTTGTCATGATTCTTACCTTTATACCTATTTAGTGTGACATTTCATGAGATATAGTGACATACATTCATTAATACCCAAATTATTTTTATGATTTGAATGAAGGTTCTTCAGATCTTTGCCCTTCAAACTGAATGTACTTTTTATTTTTCTTTTTTTTTACGGGGGGGGTGTTTAATATTCCTATACAATTCTGTACAAATTATTTCATTATGATTTATTATTTGTTATGATTATTTTTTAAATTCCTTTTATTGTTAATATTATTATAATGAGAGCATATTTTTTCTGCGTTAACATGTCTAATGTACCACATGTTCTATTAAAACTGCTTCTACTTAATAAATATTTTATAATACATTTTGTATAAATAGGAATAATATGTAAATATTTTTTATTGTTTGTATGTTTTAGAAACTCCTCCTACACTAATGGTGGAAGGCGCTCATATTGTAAATGGTGATACTCCTGTGGTTGGAGGAAATATAATGTTTATTGGAGAAGTTTTGTTTGTAAATGAAGGTGTAGTTCAGAGGTTACATCAGGAGAATCGAGACAAGGAAACTCCACCACTTCTTGCATTTCCCTGGTTTGGATCTCAGTTCTTGTCTCATGCTTTCCTGGCTTTGGAAGAAAATCCCCAATTCACACAAATTACACGATTTGTGAATCTTGCGGATTTGGCCCCTCATATCACTGGAGCAGGTTGGTATATTTTCCATTTTATCAACTTTTGTTCTTTATTATTCTTGTATTCCTTTACTCATTTTAAGTATACAATCGTGTTTAAGAAGCAAAAAAAAAAACAATCTTGCAAGAATATGAAAGAAGATACATAGTAATTTTCCATGTGAAGGTAGTCTTTCAATTAGGTTTCACTGTACCTTCCAAAATTGCAATGTTTTCTACTTTATTTTCCTGTTTAAAACCTTTTTTGCTTATGAGAAAAATACAACAGTATCTGTTAAGCAACACTATACCGTGGGTCATTGATAGCTCTCAGGTAACCTGTTTGTTCACTTAAATCAAAACTAAAATCCACAAAACTAAACCAGATTAAATAAAAATCTCATGGGAGATAAAGCAAAATATTCAAAATAGTGTTTACCTGAAAACATAAAAGAAAATTAAATAAGGAAAATACATATAAGAGAACCCAATTTAAAATAAAGTGAAATATATTTCTTCAAGTTTTGCATTTTCATCTGTTTCATGCAAGAATTGCTAAATTTGTATTGTATTTACAGAGATTTTGCACCTGAGGACATTAGATTGTTTGGTAAAATCATTAGGAGTTTTGTGTATTCTAAATATTTGAGTTAAAATAAATAAATAATTTGAGTATTATATTTCTGTTTCTAATTTCTTTCCAGAGTACACATTCTTTGTACCAACTGACCAGGCATTCAGGCGTTTGGGACTGGATTCCATGCCGAATAATTATTTGTCAAGTGGAGAGGGATTCCAGGTTTTGCTCAATCACTTTGTTAAAGGCCGCCTATACAAGAGAGATTTTACTGATGGCAAAATTCTTCACACTCTGGGCAACAAAACAATTCATATCAGAAGACATGGAGGTAATTCTCAAAACTGAATTCTCATGTTTTCCCATGTTACATGATCTTTGAATGGCTTAAATTGACAATTCTGTGAGAACATTTGAATTTATGTTAACTGAATCTTTCTAATCCAAAGAATTTCTTTTTCAGATAATATCACAGTGAATGATGCCAATATTATTGAGAGTGAAGTATTTGTTTACAACTTAGGCACCATGTATTATATAGATCATGTGTTATTCATCACAAGAGATGATCTTCCCAGCCCAAATGATTTTTCATCAACAGAGTCCTCTGTCATTAGCACAACAGAGTTGTCGGAAGTGGAGCGAGTGCCAAGTGAACTCACTGAAGAAAATGGTACATTACCTGACATTTTATTAGATGACGATACCGTTGACGGACAAGAGGTTACAACTACTGAGAGCAATGACCTAGATAATAATGCTGAAGAATCCTCTGACAGTACAACCTCAAATTCTACAATTTACAGCACAGTAATAAGTAATGAGACAATGACTGAACCACGACGTTGAATGAAATCACTGTAACATCCTAACAAAGGAAATTTAGTACAAATCTGGTCCCAAGAGTGCTGTCATTGGTAGCACAAAAGACAACGAAGAATTTGTAGTGTATGTACTAAGACTTTGAAACAACCTTGATTAATCATACACCATGATAGCCTACATTGTGTGCATTGTAAATCAACTTTTTTAAATCAAGGAACAATGACATTGAGTGAAGAAGTCTTTACACCAAAAGTTTGTTGTTTGATACATGTGAAAAACCTTTAACAGATGATGTGAAGAAAATATTTGTACAATACAAACATGTAACAATCTCCAATACAGACAGAAGATGAAGAGACATCTATAAATTGGTGTAAACAAACTTTTTGATTAATTCATGTTACCAAAATTTGCAAATTTCAATCATCAATCATTATCTTTCATTACCATCAAATTATGAAAAAAGTACTCTCATCCATTACTGATGTGTTTACAAATCTGCTTTTAAATACAAAGTAGTATTCCATATGTATAGAATTATTGAGAAAATCTAATTGTAGATAGTGAAGTATTTTTACAGATACTGGGAGAAATTTTACCTACTCAGTTAGTATACCCATAAAAATTAATATTCCTCAGTGTTTTTGTCAAAACATTTTATTTCTCAGTCATTAAAATACAGGTTTCTCTTACAATAAATTAAACGCATTTCTCATAAATATTTTATATTCATTGTGTAATCTGAGAGTGTGAGGAAGATTAAGAATAATGTATTACTCTTCAAGACTGGGTATTATTTACCATTTACATTTCTTGAAGTTACTAGATGTTCATGAAAGGGCTGTTAACGTTATTCTTTTGCTATTTCACTCTGTAGATATTTCAGTACTTTTACTGAAAATCATTTGAGTGAAATTTAAGTATATTTAAAGAAATAAATTTATATTCTATGTCAATATGATTATAAATGTGTAAATGTTTAAAAGGTCTGACAATTATAAGAACTGAATTGCTCTCTTAATATTTTTCTTTATTTCGATTTGTTTCAATCCATGTATATATTTCTATGAGTCAAAATGATATTCACCAACATGTAATACCGAATTATATTTTTTTAGAACACATCTCATGTCAATTTTTTGTAAAAGTGGTGTAATTCGTCCAAAATATAAATACATTAATAATTTATTGAATTTCAGCATAATTTATTTAATTAACCTTGTGAATATCAACTCCTTTGTTGTATCAATTATAATTCGTACGAAAAAAGGTAAGATATTGAAGAAATGTGCAAAATGTAGGTTTAATTTATCACCATATAGATTTAACAACATACTAACTAATGAACACTTCCCCTGAATCAAAAGCAATATTATATTTTTTGTAATTGCATATCGTATTATAGCCATGTTAATTCATATTTCAATGAATATGAGAAAGAGAAGAAAAAAATGTCCTTATCCAAAAATTGGAAGCAATCTCAAAGTATGACTAATTAAAAAAAATAAACATATTAGTATAGAAAGAATATTTGAATCAAAATTCCAGCTTGCAGCTTTGGTAAAGAGCACAATAACATATTGGTCTGAAATGATGAAAACAAACCTATACTTGGTCCCAGCCTCATTTATTTAACAGACATAAGATATTTTTAGCTTATTCTTGAATTATAAAATGAAGGAAAAGAAATAAATTATCTTCCTTCTAAATCTTATCGATAGAAGGCATAAGCTTTACGTTCTGCAAGTTGAAAGCAAGTGAGATGCCTCCAGGAAAGACGTCAGAAAGCAAGTGCAAAAAAATAAGTTCTTTTATCTATACCAAGAATTTTATTTCCGAAAAAAAAAAAAAAAAACTGTCAGATGTCTTACAATTCTTTAAGTAGAACTCTATTTGTTGGGTTAAATACAGCATTGAAAAGTGTAAAATGGGAAGTACATTTTTCATTTTTGTTGTGAAAGAATGAAGTGGATGGATCATGTTTTGAATGTTTGCTTCTCTAACTAAATTTTAGTCCTTCGCTTGCCAACTTTAGGCTGAACCAGAAATATATTTCATTTTTATACCTAGTGTTTTTAAATGTGCCAAGCTCATCACAGTCCAAACCACACCCACATAACTACAAACACTACCTCTTCCTGAGCCAGGTAATGAAGCCAGTCAAGTGTTATTCTTTCACATGAACAGTACATCTGAGTGACTTCAGCAACACTTTTTTGACACTGTTTTAATATCCAAACAACGGATGTGAAATACATATTTTGTTTTCAAAATTTTCAAAATACATGTTTTTATAATGAATTACACTTAATTTTGATATTTACTTTATTTATTGAATATATACTAGTTAAAAAAGGAGTGACCAAATTTGAACAATATGACTTCACAAACAGAAAATTTGCTTAAATGTCATAAAGTAATTTTATTTGTGAACAAGAATGTGAATAAAAATGTAGAAAAAAGAAATGACAAATTACAAAATTTCCATGATTCTTTCAGTTGCATGACAATACTCTCAAGAATAATATGTCATTTATATTAATAATCAAGTAGAAATTGTTTGACAATACAATGATATAAAATAGAAGTATCATGTGTTCTTTTAAAAGGATGGTGGGAAGATATGAGTTAAAAAGTTAAAATATTCTTATATATCTAGACTATGGGTGTCCAACTTGCAAGGACTCAAGAACTACAACTCATCTCATCATCATCATCATCATGAACTGACCAGAAATTAGGCTCTAAAGCCTGTTTCTATTGGTTTATTATAGTATTCTTGGTAGATTATTAGTCTTCCTGCTCATGCCTACTCTTTAGTGGTCTCCTTCTATCTCTGATCCCTATTGGTTTGTACTTCGAGATTAATTTTGGAAATCTTTTGTTCATTCTCTGTAAATGATCTTTCTTTATTTTTGAGACTGTTCTATCTCTTGTACTAAACATTTGGTTTTTAATTCCTTTCTGATTTCTTTATTTCTTAGTCTGTCTCTTCTTGTGATTCTCATGAGGTGTCTTAAAAATCTCATGTGTGCTGTCTGTAGGTTTTGTATGTCTCTCTCTTTCATTACCCATGCTTCAGAGTCGTACATGATTCTAGGTTGAGCAGCTCTATATGGGAGTTTCAGTTTGGTTTCTGGGTCCATGACTCTGCCAAAGTGTCTCTTGATTGTTCCATATATTCTATTGTAGTTATTAAGGGCAACAACTAATACCTTTTATATAGTTGCAGGACATATTATCATTACCCGGGCAATCCACACCTGACTTCCCTGTATTGTTGATATCGGCAGTTTGCCCAACTACATTATAATAGGAGAGGGGGAATGGAACCATGCATGATATCACGCTGTTCCTTGCATTCCATAGTAAATACCTTTGCGATGACGTTGAATTTTGGAATTTAGTAGAAAAAAATTCTTAAATCTAAACTCAACCCATTTTTTACATTAAGAGGGTGTTGACCCCCTTAATGTTACAGGGCATGTGCGCTAGGTGCACATTGTTCTCACATGATATGGATGCAAAAGACATTCACTTTTGATTCCTAACCTTTCACGGACTTCAATAAGTGGTACGGTGGACCACATACAGCCTTTGAGCTAATTGTTAGATATCCCTGATCTAGACACAAATTTAAAGAAAAAGGAAAATAAGGGAACATAATTAAAACAAATGTTACATTCCCTTGTATTTTCTAAGTGCCAATTTTGAGCATTGTTACTATAGTTTATTATTTGCTTAGTGTCTAGTTCTTTGAGCAAATAATTCATTGTGCATAAATCATCCTCATCATCATTGTTGTTCAGTCTGACAGATCTATTTTTAAGAAATCTAAGGTTAATCTCAATGCTTGTCATAAACTAATTTTGTTGCTCTTATATTATAATATGTTGTTTTTTTATTGCACTAAAGTTATGATTTTTTTATTGCATTTACATTATTTAATTGTATTTTACATAATTAACTGTCTTCTGCATTTTAATTGATTAAATGTAATTGAATTATGCTTGTTTCTGTATTCTTTTAAACAACACTTGAAATAAATTTTAATTTTGTATAATGAGATGTGCTTGAATCACAGTAAAAAAATGGAAAAGAACACTGCTTCCTTCATTGTAATTCGATTTTTTTAATAGACTACATGTTAGCACCAAATTTTGCTTCTCGTTATTTGAAAATATAATTTATTGTATTTAATATTGTAAAGTGAAATGGAACGACTCAAGTGGTCCAATGTGGCCAATCAAGTTAATAATAATAATAATAATAATAATAATAATAATAATAATAATAATAATAATAATAATAATAATAATAATAATTTAATATTGTGTTTAAATTTAATGAAAATGAATGTTCATATAAAATATAAATGATTTTTTAAAATAAATATTAATTCAAATTATGCTCAATTGTCACTCATCTAACACCTTGTTACTAGGCAAGTACTATGTCAGAAATATCAACCAGTGAATATGGTTAGGTGGAAGAGTAGGCTAAATGGCCTGAGCCTCACCATCAATAAAGACATTTATTTATTTATTTTGGTTTTTTGAAGAAATGTTATAACTTTATCATTTATATTAAATTATTCATATTGTTCATAGCATTGATCCCAATTAGGATTCAAGTCCAAGTCTCCTGATTAATGCCCATATATTCTGACCAATAAGTTACTAAGATAACCAATGTTGGTGTAAGGTTAAAGGGGGACAATTGAGTATCAAAGAAAGAGCCATATATCAAGTCTAAAATATACTTCAAAGAATTGTTTGTCTTGGGACTTAATTGTAGCTTAATGCTCATTGGTATCTTAATGGTCACAGCAAATGCTCATCAAACAGGAGAACTAAGCTCAAATCTCTGTCAGAATGATTAATTCTGGGAAGAATTTGAATTATTCAATTTAGCGTCCATGAAAATTTGTCACAAATTCAAAATAATATTCATTTACTTTATTGAACAGTTTTTCTTAATGTAATTAACAGTGCAATAATTCTGCAATGAAAGCAAATGAAACTAATTTAAAGAATGTGTGCATCTATCATTCATATCACACTTCATATTATGATTTAGATTAGATCAGAATAAGAGCTTCCTAAATTTAAACTTGTTTCTCTGATTCTGATAAAAAATTTTAAAAATTTTTAAAATGTTAGGTTGCTTATGAAAACAGAAAAAATAAATATGTTTAATTTGAATTGAATTCCCTTCTCCGTATTTAAAGGCTGTTGGTGACCTTTCAAAAAAACAAAAAACAGTAGCATCATGTTTACAAATTATAAACAAAATTTATTTAATATAATTAATTAGTAAAAAAGAAATTGGGATGGGGGCAATGGGGGCCATAGGCCCCCCAAAAGGCCTAGAGTTTTTGTTTGCCTTCCTTTATTTGGCAAAATTGAATTAAATATTAATTTATGTTTGAATTATGTAATTATTTAAACAATTATATTGTATAGTACCACATCTATAGTACATAAATAGTATACAATATAATAAAAAATATGTTTATTATTAAAAAAATTCTATGATGGCTCTCACTAAAATGATTGGTTAGATTTGCCCCATCTTCCTCTAACTATTAGAGGAAGCCATGGCCTGACGTAGGTTGGTCAAGAGGATATTAAATGCTCAGGAACTTCCCTCCAGTATACTATCCACTTCATCTTTTAGACCCAGAATATAAGCAGTTAAATCGCTCAGTATTAAAACTGCCAAACATTCACAAGTCCTGTGTAAAACTTTTGAAGGTGACAAATGAATTTCAATGAATAACTCATTATCTAAAAATACTGATTAGTTTCATCAAGATTTTCATTGTGCAGAAAATAATAATTTGTTGAAAAATATGAAGCAAAATCAGCAAATAACATGTAACAAAACATGTTTTAATATTGTTTTCACATTTCTAAAAAATAATTAATTGTATTTATGAAATACTCATTTGAATGCAATATCAAAATCTTAGGAAAAAGAAAACTAAACAAGTTTCATTCTAGATTATATTAATAATCAAAATATTTTTGTTTATATAGAAATTATTAGATAAAGATATAAGAATAATTTGGCACAATTGATTTCAATATTTATTTATGTTTGAATTATGTAATTATTTACACAATATTGTGTAGTATCATGTCTGCAGTACATGAATAATATGCAATATAATAATAAATATGTTTATTATTTAACAAAAATCTGAAAATGATCAGCTAGATCCACCTCTTTACTTTACAATATTTAGCTTTGTTAAAGAATGCCAGAATATAGACAGAATTTTAATGAACTCTAGTTTCATTTTAAAATCGAAATTCAATATTCTTTATTTCATTAGGTTTTAATTATTTATGCTTGAGTTGCATTAAGCACAACAATATATTTTTGTAACTTGTTGTAACAACTGCAAAAGTTTCACACGTATAGAACATTTAATAGATTATATTTGTATCATACCTTTGGCTAATACATTTGCATAAACTTTGCATACACTTTTTGCTAATATCTTAAGAAATAGATTAAATGAATATATTGAAAAGTTCTTGGGAGAAGAAGAAAATGGACTTAGAAAGAGCAGAAGTACAAAAGATGCTATCTTCACAGTACAGACAATATTGGATAAATGAAATGAAGTGAATCTTACAACTTTCCTCCTCTTTATAGACTTTGAGAAAGCATATGATAGGGTGAACAGAAACAAAATATGGGAAATACTGGAAGATGAAGAGATACCCACAGACAATAAAAGGAATCCAGAGTCTGTATACAGATTTTCAGATTAAAGTAAGAATGAATGATGGAAGCAATACAGAGATTTATAGAACAACCAGAGAACTGAGACAGGGGTGTGGGCTATCACCATGTCTATTTAACATATATGCAAATCACAAGATCAAAAAGTGGAAATAAAAAGTGCAAAAACCAGTATAAATTTAAACAAAAGACAAATGGTTCAAATAGATTTCTATGCAATGACATGATCCTAATAATGGAATCAGAAAATGACTAACAGAGGGCAGCAAATGAATTTCATTAAATTGCCTCAACATACAGGCAAAGAAATGAGGAAGGTTAAAATTGTTATAGATCAAACAATAATAGAACAAGTAGCAAAATTTATGTATCTATGAAATATCATTGGACAAAATTCAGCAGATCAAGAAAGAAAAATTCAAAAATATAATGAGGTGAATGGAATAATGCAGAAAAACTTTGAAAGAGATATGACAGCAGAGGCAAAACTAAGAACACACAACATAGCATCTAAATCAATGTTAATGTATGGGTCATAAATATGGACCCTAAAACAAAGAGACTGTCAGAAATTAGAAGCCACACAAATGAGACTTTTCCAGCACCTGGTAGGTATAACATGTTTAGATCGACAACAAAACTATGAAATCAGAAAAAAATCTCAAAGCAAAAACTATAGTGAATGACATTAATGAGAAACAGAGGAGATGGCTTTAACATGTATGAAGAATGCAAGCGGAAAGAATTCTAAAAGCAGTTTTAAAGTATAATCCCATAAAACAAAGAAATAGAGGAAGACCCAAAAAGATGGATTGCTCAGGAACATCTGGAGGAATAATCACCAGATCTAATGTCTTTTAACAATAACAGGCACCAGACCTACTATCCTGCTGTTCATGATGATGATATTTGTATCATATAGAACTTTTTTATATTCAGTATATTATGACAAAAATGTTCAATAATACTAATTTAAAAATTATAATTTTACAATGTCATTAAACAATGAAAAATATCTAAGACCCCCAAATGAGGATTATGACAGTCAATGGGTTAAGAACGGATGAAATTCACAAGTCTAATTCTTGAGTGTAATGTACAAAAGTAGAACATTATTTTAGTGGGTTACATTGATATTGAATGTTCAAGGACATGTTTTGAATTGGAGCAGACCAAAATCTGATTGTGATAAATGTGATGAGACCGACAGATTTTTGTTCTAATTACATCTACATATAACATTCTTAATTAACATTATTTTTTAAATATTTTATCTTTTAATTGATATAAGAATATTATATTGAGCAATTTAGTGCATGATTAATTTCAATACTAAATTAAATATACATTATTTTAGATTGTCTTACCTTAAATATATTATATATAATTTGAAATATTACTTGCAATACCATCACATTCTTTACTTATCAGAACCTATACACAGTACGAACATGGATACAAGAAAATTTTATTTCATAAGGACATGAGTGTACAATCCATAAATTACTTATATTACTTGTAAATGTTCCATTGGTATTTTTAAATTTTGTTTACTCAATTAATTTTACAATTACATTTTGAAATTGGCGCATTTTCATGCTGGCTCATATCGATTCGACGCAACACCAGCCAATAGCGTGATGCCAATAGCAGACACGTCAACGCCATTCCCTACTACCAACAAAAGTTATCCACGAGGGCGGGGAGCACTACTTATTTAGTGGCGGGCGTATGACTGGGCTGACTAGAGTACTTTGTAGAGTTGGTGATAAGAACAAGTTACGAATCTTGAAAAAGTTTTGAAAGCACATCTTTCCTTACGGTTTAGTGAGAATATCGATTTTGGCTACCCTGTTTTGTATAGTCATTTGACATCATGGCAGACGTGCTTGAAAGTATCCTGCTCCTTCTTATGACAGAAGAATGTTACGACAAATTCTTTGTCGAATTGAACTTCCTAGATGGTAAGTAAATGTTATAATATAAACGCAATGCGTGACGTACAGCGGTCATTCTTCAATTGCTGATTTTGTACTTTTGGTTAATCCTAACCTCTCCAACCAGTAACTGGCAGGCTACAGTGTATGTTATATTAAAGAGTACCTTTATGACAGTATGACACAACACTGTCCTTTCTGAATAAATAGGCCTCGCAGTGAAGTGTTAAGTGAATGACACCGAAATTTTTGTTTTAAACTTAAAGAGTGTTATATTTGTTTCAGTACCATGTCTGAAAGCTGTCATAAGCAAGGGGCTGGGCCTTGCTATTATTGCAGGATCTGTCATGGGTAAGTACATGGATTTTAACTTTCGGTTATAAATTAGATTTTGTATTTTCATGAACAATTATGTAATTTCATAATATATCCTCTAGCGAATCAAAAATCCTATTATACCAGTGTAATGTTCATTGTAAAACTTGTTGAAGAGTTGTATTTTAAAAATAATGTAGCCATTTATCATTGTTCAGTCTGGAATAGCCAGTAAAAGGTGGAACAAATTGTTTTTTAATAAAGGCAAGTACAATTACTACTGAAAAACATTATTGCCGTATTTGGTCTTGTACAGCTTCTTTAACGGAAGATTAAAGGTTTTTCAATACCGTATTAAACAGGGCTGCCCAGAGAAAGAGGGTCCTGGAACAGTTTGTCCATGTGGACCCCTCCTTTCGAACAAATAATTCCCTCCTTCCCCAATTCATAAACAGAATTCATTTCTCCATGCTTCAGAAGTAACTTAGTGTTCAATGGACTGGATTAGAGATACATGTTTTTTTCATTTCTTTTGAATTTAAAGAAAATTCAGGCCCATGTTAATGTCTGGGGTAAGTTGCAACTGATGCCCCTCCTTCTGGACACCTCTGTTATTACATTGTAGAGGCTCTTCTTAAGTACCATTTAAAAAATGAATATATTATTTTAACAAACCAGTGGTATTCGAAATTTAGATAACATATTTCTTGATAATAATGGGTAACTTTTTTAAGTTAATTTTGAAAATTGGGGTACAAATGAAATTATTAAATGCATTGCACTTGAAAATTGTTATAAGAGTGCCATGTAATAAATGATTTATTGAGTTTCTGAGCTTTGACTGGAAGAGACATAATATTTGGATGATGAAGTATACTGTATCCATTTAAGAAGTGTTGAATACAGTGATTCATTTTCAGCACATTTATGTAAATTAATTTATGAAATGTGTATGTCATTATATTAATCAAGAATTTAATGACAGGAACATTGGTGTCTATGGCTTTCAGAATTGTGGAGGGAGGAACATTTAAGAAAGTTATTTAAATACTAGTACCAGCACTACTTCTGAATATTAGTTATTAATTTAATTTTAGCTATCATCAATTCAATAATACGAAAAACTATTTGAAGGGGAAATAACATTCACACTTATATAGTGACGTATGCAATATTGAGTTGAGTATGGTAATGCAGACAGGACCAAAGATTGTCTTCCATTGATCACTAACTACAATAAATCTGGCTGCTTACTCGTCAAGCTAGTGGAACATTTAATGATCTTGAAGTGTGTGTCCCATTGTAACACAACTTCCTCGTTTCTGGGACATGCCTCTTAAGAGCAGTTTCATTCTTCAAAGGAAGCTGAAATTTCTCTACAGAAATAGAGATGCCAAAGCAGTGCCGTCATAGGTCTGTCCTGGAGCATATGATGGGTAGGATTTGGTACAGTTAGTACTTTGTTTACATTAAGTGTAAACAATGAAATTAGTATAAAATTACTGGTGTACTGTACTTGAACAATTGTGGGTGGGGGTTAGCGGCACCTAAGCCATGCTTCGAACCAATGTATATAATAAATTCTTGTACCTTTCACCTCCTCTGGTTGAGTATTTTTTTTTAAAACCTAAATAGATGAATTGTAGTTTCCATGTAAGCAACATTTCTGACCGTACAAACCATTTTTATTTAGAACATCCTTTCTATTAAGATTAAGAACACCTGAGAGTTAACCGTGCGTTCGCCTAAGCCAGGAGGTCAAATTATCTGCCATTGTTATTCGTTGGTTTATTTTCCACCGCCGCCGTCAACTTTCCCTGTCCCTTTGCGGGCGAGATAAGATACAGCGACGGTGCTCTTGTCAGAGCGAGCCGTCAAGTGGCAAAGTTCACGGGCTGAGCGAAGCCAGCATTTAAATATACTTCTCGCGGGCGCCGGGTCATGACGTCACCTGCGACAGCGATGGAAACAAAACCGCAGCACTGAAGAAGGTGCAGCTGCTATCGCCCGATTTTGGAAGAATTCCTCAAGGACTTTAAAAAATTAAATAATAATAATAATAATCTAAATGAAGCAAAAAACAGTGTCATTAACCCCAGGATGCACTTGCAGGGCCCCTTGAGGCCCTAAAGTTTGTTTTATTTCGTTTTTTACTGTACACAGCTGCATTTTAGAAAAATTGCCCTCCTGCGAAGCCCTAAAGTTTTTTTTATTTTTTAAAATTTGGTTTCTACCGTGCACAGCTGCATTTCAGAAAACTTGCCCTCCCTGTAATGTTTTTAAATCTTTCTATTTTCATTTTGGTCACTGGTAAAGGGAAACTTGACATAGGTAGGTCCTGAAATTTGATTTTATTACGTCAATGCATATGCAGGGATTTTAAGACCCTATCGACAGTTTTTAATGAATAATTTGTTTAACGTTAAGAATTGATTTATATTGAAGTTATTAAGAATGAAAAAAAACAACATTTTTTATCTGCATTTTTTCGAGAGCATATTGCGCAGGCCCTCAGAGGCCCTGCGTAAGCATCCATGTAGTTTCACGCGTCCATTCACTTACGGTTAAGTGCAGTTTGTGTCTCCAGCAATAGTTACAGAAGAGACCACATGTAAAACGACGTAGTCCGTTTTGCGATATGGGAGGGTAATAAAACATGGGTTTCCATATGGTGGTATGTGAAACTCTTAGAGTAGGCTACGCTCAGAGCCTTCTCAGGATTTGCCAGTATCCAGAAATTAGTGGTGCTGAAACAGCTAGTACTTCACGCGAAATATACTCAAATATTCGAAAAATTATACATTACTATATTTCAAAATCTGTCTTTAAGGAACAGATTTAATTAAGGGGAAAAATCTGTATCTTCATAATTGTAGTTGTAAGAAGATGTCTTAATTTGCATTTTGTTAGCCCTTAAAATTACATTTGGAGGAACGAGACACAGCGTCTCATTTTTCCATGTACTGCGTAAAATGAGAAGTTTCAAAGGGTATAGCTAAATAAGGGGGTGAAATGTGCTCCCAAACTATATCGATAATCGCGATACTCACATGAAAGAGAATAAAAAATTGTCGTAGATTCCCTCAAACCTCAGCGTCCTAGGACAATATGTTAGAGATACAATGAGAAACGTGTTTTTAATGTTTTATTTTTTCTCGGCTTGTATTGTATGTATCAGACCGGAAAAAATGGAGAGACGGAGAAAAAAAGTTGAATTTGAAGGTATTTTTGTCAACAAATGTTGATGCTAAATTCAAATAGAAATACATTTTTAAAATTGATTTACGACGTGAAAACGGGAGTACTGTACAAGTTTCCCCCCATAGAATATGTCTTTAGCATATATGTTTTCAGATTTTTTAAGATGGCAATAGTAAAAAATAATTAAAACCAATTGTATCAGTTAAAAAATTTGAAATTCACTGCAAAATGTGATTGGATTTTTTATACCAATATTTAAACAGAAGTTAAATCACAACATAGAACTCGAAATCTTATAGGTGTTGCACTGATTATGTACCAAACTCAATCGGAATAACTTCACTTTCATACGAGCTGTTATCGATTATATCTTTCAGAATCGCGATTATTGATTTAGTTCGGGGGCACTTTTCACCTCGTTATTCGGCTATACCCTTTACGTAATTTTGAGATAATCTCTATTGTCACTAATTTTTATGACTATATTTCTGAACTTGTTCACAAATTTATCTTTAATCCTAGGCGAAACGAATCGCGTCACCTTTTATCGAGAGAAAGAGTAACATTCCTTGGTCAATTAATGTTAGCGTAGTCAATTGAAACACAACAGAACGGTCAACTGCCAGAGACGGCGCAGTGAAAAACTAGTTCTTAAAATGTTGACCAACTAGGGTTTTATTTTCTCAGACATAGCATGATAGTTCTTTCTAAAAATAAGTAACAACTTATTACACTTTTGTAATAACGTCGTATTATATTACGAGATTAGGTAATTATCAAATTAAGCCGTTAGGTCATGTGTCGTACATTTGAGCCACTTGTGATTGATAAATTCCAATGAACTATAATTTTCGATCCAACATTTTATATTTGATCATTCGTTATGGGAAAGATGGCAGACTCATACAGGAGGCCACAGTTTCTTAGAATGTGTCCTAATCATACTCATTACTAAAGACCGGATTTTCGTGCAATATATCTAAAACGTGCATTAAAAACACTAAAACATGCAAAAACATGCAATAAAAATATCTAAATTTTGCAAAACGCAAAGGCAGCATTACTCAAAACGTGCAATTTTGTGCAAAATAAAATAAGTATTAAACGTCAGTTTTATGATTCAAATTTCTGTCAAAGTTTCATCCAATTTCAAGTTAGCAAAGGAAAGACGCTAACTAAATAGATCACACGGGAATACGGTCTTTACTCCGTACTATAGACCGAATTTTCATGCAATAAAACTCTCTAAAACGTGCAGAAAAAAACACCAAAAGTGCAAAAACATGCATTAGAAAGTTCACTTTACAAAACTGTAGTATTTAGCCTAAAACTCCAGTTAATTCACTTATCAACTCGTTATATTTTGAAAATATTTATGAAATATTTAAGGTGGATGAAATATTATAATTTTAGTGTTATTATAATTAAGTTTGTTCGTATTGTTTAAACAGACCATATTTGACATTTTAAATATTATTTGTGCACAAAATTAAATTAGCATAAAACACAAAAAAAGGAAATACAAGAAAGGAAGAATGCAAATATACCTTTAGAAATAAAAATAAATAATTAAGTTACAGAAGAAATGTTATTGTTTTCATTATAATTTACACTTATGTATATTTCCAAACAATTTTCTAAGAAATTATTATATGTTCCATCAACTAATATATGTTTCAATCAGGAAAAACTTCGTACTACATTTAATTTATACTTGTGTGTGTGTGAGCCGAACTTCACTCAGACGTACGTGACCGTTGCTAACAGGGGTCAAAAACTGCGTTCATTCTCTCTTGAACCGCGCAGGGCAAAGTCTGTTTCGTGAAGTCCGATGA